AACCCTGGCTGTGCCTTTCACGGCTTGTCCAGCCTCCTCCCACCCCGCCTGGCCCCCTGCCTTCTAGTCACAGAAGCCAGCCTCCCTCCTGCTTCCCAGAACAGCCGGCCTGCTGAGGCTCTCATCGATCCATCCCGTTGGATCCTGAGCGAGACTAATAGGTTCCCCAGGTCCCTCTCAGCCTTGGACTTGGCAGGCAGACCTGCTGCTGGGCCCAGGGCCCCCGGAGAGGAGGGCTGGGGCAGAGGGGAAGCCGGGAAAAGAGCAGCTTTTAACTCCTCTGGTGACAGCTGCCTTCAGGAAATCCCTTAGTTCCATTAAACAGATAGAGGTGAGGAGAATGACGTTTGGAAAATTCTACACTGCACGCAGAAACTCCTGATGTTCTTAATATCGCTAAACCACACTTTCCCTTCTGCAAATTCCTTGCACTGCCCAGCATGAAAAAAGATCCCTTTCTGATTCATAGAACTAGAGAATCTCTGGGCTAGAAAAAACAGCAGTGTTCTTCTAGTCCAACTTTCCATCCACTGGTGTAATTCACTGACAGTCGGCAAGAGGGGCTTTAGTCTTTCCTTAACTACCTCCAGTGACAGGGAGCTCACTACCACTGCATCTTGAGACAGCTTCAACAGAGCTAAGTCTGTCTCCCTGTGACCTCCCTCCACTCTTTATTCTGAGGTGTCGTCCTTGAGGCTGCCAGGAGCAAGTCTGTCTCATGACGGTCCTTCCCACTCTTCCTCAAGCCGGGGACCCCCTTTCTTCAGCTGCTCCTCAAGGGACATGGTGTCCATTCCCCACTTGGCCCTGATGCTCCCCTGCTCTGTTAGGCTGTCGGGTCCCGCTCTTCCCCCCATAGCCTCAGTGTCTAGTTCAGACCCCCAGCCAGTGCCATGCACCCTGCCTCACCCTGGGCATGTGCGGAAGAGTCTGAAGTGGGAATTCTACCGAAAACTGTGAAATGCTTCGTGTTTATGTATTTCCTATAATATACATATGCACGTACATATATGCTACCAAGTATTTTGCGTGGTTTATAACGAAGGACTGTATTTTGTGGATTGGATAACGAAGCCGGGAAGAGGAGGAGATGGGTGAAGGACAGTTAGGATGGGAGAGGGTGGGGGAGGGGGTGAACGGAAACCGGATTTGTGAAGCATCTTCTAGGAAGGAGACCGGCACTGTCCTGCTTACTTGCGCTCCTTGTACTAACGTGTAAGGTAGTAGTTGTCCTTACTTTGCAGATAAGGTCGCTGAGGGACAGAGGGAGTCGCTGCCACTGGCCAGTCCCCGCAGTGCTAGAGCTGGGACCCCCCGGGGCTTCCCCTGCCACCCTGTGCTCTGTTTGCTGCTCCAGGTGCAGTCCAGGCTAGGAAGGCAGTGACTGATAGGAGATCCTGAGTGGGATACAGACTCTCCGCACTAACCCACCCCACCGACTCGCTGCCCTTCTCCCCTCTCCCCGCCCCTCCCCGCCTCTCAGCACACACGACAGAGTGTGCTGGATAAGATGGGGATGCTGTTTCCTTATTTAAAGGGCAGTAGAGCGCCCCACAGGACAGTCCAATGGGGTACACTGGGCACTGATCGGAGCAGGTGCCCCAATTTATCTGACATCTGGGAGGCTCTTCCCTGGGAGCGCAGGGCACCTGACAATTTTAAAGAGATGAACAGTCCTGGCTGCCGTGCTGGGCATCTCCATGCGAGGCCTAATCCTGCCATCCTCCAAGCTTCCCTGTCTTGTCCCACGAATTTCACTGCCTCTTTGAAGGATCCCAGGGGATTTGGCTGCTTTCCCAGCCAGGCTCTAGTGAGTCTCCCTGCTACATTCCAGGGCCCGTGGCACTGTCCTCGGCCACACCGCTCACCTTGCCCCTCCAGCTGCAGTGCTCCCTCCTCCCTAGCACACCTGGGCAGATCTTTTCTTGAGCCAAAGAGACAGCCAGCTGTCCAGGAACACTGGCTCCTGTGGCCTCCCCTGACCTTCTCACGGTGTCTTTGGGGTCCGGTGCTCTGACCTTTGTGCAAGTCGGATTTTGCTTTTCACGTTGCCTTTGAGGAAGATGTGTTCCATTTTACATATAGACCTAAACAAGGCAGTCCCCATGGGAAACCAGGTGATTTAAGGCATCAAACAAAATATGGGTTTGACTTTAGCTTCGTGGTGGACTTACTTGCAAGTCCTCTAAGCTCCCAGAGTCTATATCTGACCCACCCTTCTCTGCTGAGGTCTTGGCGGTCCAGGGCCTGGCCCTCAGGACATGTGCATTGTTGGTTGAACAGATTTGCACTGTGGTCCCTTTTTGTTCTGCGGGCTGTTGTGGCGATGAGTAAAATACAAGAGAAAGAAGGCTGAAACCATACGTTCCAGTTCCCAGCATGCTTCCGCATCTCCGTGAGTTACACCCATTTTACAGATGAACAATGGAGGCTCCAAGAGGTTATATGACTTCTCAAGATCACACAGCTGGGGAGGGCTGACTCTGAGCTTGAATCCAGATCTTCTGTAAATCAGTTGGCAGGAAGTGCCCGGCAACATCAGTGCCCCTCCTGATAAGGGTGAGGGCCTGCAGGGCCACAGAGAGTGGGACAGATTACAAGTCTCCTTTGATGTCCTGTGGGGGAAGGAAGGGAAAGGCCAACCAGCTATGATGCCTTTTGAATGACAGCCCCTCCCAGGGTTTGCCCCTCCGGGCTGCAGCCGCCAACTCCCCAGACCACCTTGGTGGGACCCAGGACTGGAGGATGGGGGTTGGCATGACCTTCCCAGAGCTCCTGTCTTTATCCTGCCAGCCCCTGGGTTCCACCCTGCTACCTTGTCCTTGTTAGAAAACACAGCCCCTGTGAGTTTTCCTCCCCACATCCAGAGATGCATACCCCCAGGCCGCTCCTAGGTTCTGTGCCTGTGGCCCCTGTTGCTTGTGTCCTGGGAGGCCTCTGGCCACATAGGAAGGCCAAAGATGAGAAAGTAGAAACCCTGGTCCCAGCTGCATTCCTGTGTGAAGAGGCACGTCTTAGCATCTGTACAGATCAAGGGAGGCGGCTGCAATGCCCTTCAGAGGCCTCTCTCTCACCTTTATATCCTCATTGATATAGGAAAGACATTAGGGTTCAAAGCCAACAGGCAAGAAAGAATTCTTGAGAGTCTTTGGTGCAAAAAGCTAGTTTTATTAAAGCACGGGGACAGGACCTGTGGGCGGAAAGAGGCTCCTCTGGGGTCACGAGGAGTGGACCATTATATATTTTCAAGTTGGGAGGAAGTTAGGGATATAGCATAAGTCTCTAAGGAATTTGGGAGTCAAGTTTCCAGGACCTTGAGGGGGCTAGCTATCGTCGGGAAAAGGTCAGTTATTACCATCTAATAAAACCTTAGTCATGAGACCCTTCAGATGTAGATCGGCAGGCCATATGCTTTGGGGGGTGATTGCCAACATATATCTTGGGGGTTTAGAGGTAAAAAATTTCTAAAGGAATTCTTATATGTTGAAGTAGACTTACAGGCTCCTGGGAGTTGGGAGGAGAGGGTCAGGCTGGGATTGCCCTTTTCCCTCAGCAAATTGTCAACATGGAGAGACAGTTGCGTCCCTAGAGGAATGCCACTCTGTCTGTTTTAAGGACTTGTCCGTGGGCTCTAGGAAGGAAGGAAATTTAATAATTTCTCTTCTGCCTTTGTTTCCCACATCACTCAAAGGTCAGGAGGGTGAGGAACCTGTGCAGGGAGGAGTCTGGGGTCATTTGGAAGACATCCCCACAATGACTGTGCTGTAGCTGGGGCAGGAACGGGAGCGCGGGGGCCTTGGGTTAGAAAGCCAACCCTTCCCTTGCCATCCAGTGTGTGGAGCTACTCATCTCGTACCTCATGTTCCCCTGTGTGGGATTAAAATGCGCTGTAGGATTGTTGTGAGGACTTGAGCACAAGTCATGTGGAATGTTTAGCTCATTATCTGGAACACCGTAAAGAATCAATAAACCCTACTCTTGTCGTTGCTTTTGGGAGCAAATGCCTGTACTTTTCTTTCCATTGGAGTTGAGACCACCTCTTCCCAAGAGACCCTCCCCACCACCTCCCACCCCTCCCCACTCCCGCCACTCCCACCCTCTTCCTGGCCTGCCTCTTCAGAGGCAAAGCTGAATTAAGACCCTTGTGTCTCAGTGACATCATTCTGGAGACCTCCCATCCACCCCTGCTCCTAGACAGCAGTTAGCTGAGTGGGGGGCGGGAGGGGATCCCATATTTTTGTTTTGTTCCCAGCCTGCGTTCTTGCCGTTGGAGCGCAGTTCAAAGCCTGTGCTCTTATAATCTTAATAATACCTTGTCTTAATGCAACCACTATGCTCTGAGGAGTTCAAAGGGTTTTTGTGAGACCTGTTTCCTGGGCCTTGTGATCTTGAGGGAACTGCTCCCCCACATCCCTGAGGAAAACAAAGGCCCCGCTTTCCTAGAATTAGATGTGACCTTTGTGGGCCTTTGCGATGGGCGAGGCCAGGACTTAAGCAATTCACAGATTCTTTCATTTCATCCTCAGCAACATCCTGGGAGCTGGTGGCTTATTCTCGTTTCTCAGATGAGGAAACTGAGGCCAAGAGCCGTGGCCATGTGAGAAGGTCACTTGGTGTGTGAGCAGCCAAGTTGGCGGGAAAAAACCAGGCCTCCTGGTCTGTGAACCCAGGTCTTGGCCACCAGGCAGTGCTGGGGGGAGGAGTGGGAGTCCTCTCATTCCCGTCAAGGGACCTCAATCTCTGTTTAAAAGAACATTCCTGATGGAGCTGGAGGAGGCCGGGGGGCTTAGGAACATTCTTTTGACTGAAGCTGGGAATACAGAAGCCCACAGAGGTTGAGAAGCTTGCTCAGGTAAAGGGGCTGCTGCTTTGCACCAGTAGTGGGGGCCAGACCCATGGCCCAGCCTCTGACCCAGGGCCCCGCTCATCCTGCCTGTGCCCCGGTGTCTCCCAGGGAAGCACCGGGGACCCTCAGTGCCTTCATCCTCTCTCCCCTCCAGGCCTTTTAAACCTGGAGAAGCTGCTCCGGCAATTCCTTATCTCCAAGGACACCCTTTCAGTCCGGATGCTGGATGACACCCGGGACCCCACCCCGCTCCTCAAGGAGATCCGGGACGACAAGACCGCCACCATCATCATCCACGCCAACGCCTCCATGTCCCACACCATCCTCCTGAAGGTGGGAGCCAGGCCCCGGCAGGCGCGGTGGGCACGGAGCCTCCTTGTCCCTCCCCCATCCCCTTCCCCCTGAGCTGGCACACCGCTCCCTCCTTGCCTCAGATGTCGCCCAAAAGGAAAGGCCAGATGGGGCTGATGTTGGAGAAGCATCACCTCCCGGTGCAGCCGGACAGCCCCCAGCCAGAACCCTCCCTACCAGGGTCTGTGGGGTCTCAGGAGGGGCCACGGCCCTTGGGGGCCAAGGCTCTGTGCCAAGGAGTATAGAAGTATTTCCAGGTGTGGACAGCCAGGGCAGTCCAACCAGCGTGTACAGCCGAGCGTCAGCCCTCTGGGTCCTCCCTGCACAGCGTACTGGTTTCCCAAGCGCTGCTGTGGGGCTTCCCAGCCTAATCCTCTCAGTGCCTAAATGGGGCTCGTACCCCATCTACCCTGGACAGGCGAAGAGACTAGGACTCTGGGCGATGAATGGCGAGGAGCAGAGCTGGGCGCGTACCTGCTGTCTCTGATAGCCGGTCACCAGCTTCGTCTACCGCAAATACAGGGGCAGGGTGGCAGGCCCCAGATTGGAAAGTCAGGGGTGGCGGGGCCGGGGGTAGGAGGAGTCCGTGCTGGAGAAACAGCGTGGGACCAGCTGGGCAGCCTCGGAGTCCTCAGGCACCGGCTCCTGGCCTGGTGGCTGGGCTCGGCCTGCGATTCCAGATAGAGGGACCCTACTTGCAGGCCTCTCCGTAGCTCTCCCAGCCCCTCCAGGCACACTGGCTTCTTCTAATGCCGTCCTAATTGCACATTTAAACGCAACCTGCCATCTTCCACTGGGGGAGCAAGGCTTCTCCTTAACCTCTGCCAAGCTGTGGGGAGCTGGGCAGACACTCAGATGATTGTCTCTTCCTCCCCCTCCCCCCTCTCTCCTCCACACCGCCCCTCCCCAGCTAGTTTTTGTCTCGGAGTTAATAAGAGATTTGAATGAGTTCTCTGAGTACCGAGGGCTGTCCCTTCAGCCCGTTGCTATAGTAATTCTCCACAGCTCCAAACCCACATTTGTCTGGGTGCATGTAGGCAACTCAACACACACACTCAAATGGAAATTTTCTCTTTTTCTCTCGTCTTGTGTCTGGGCCTATGATGGATGAAGTCATCAAGAGTGGAAGAGATCCTCTAAGTTTCAGGGCCTCAAAGAGATCAACTCCCTGGGGATGATGAGGGACAGAGACGGAGATAATGGTCGTCCGTCGTCCCCGCCCCCCCGCCCTCCATCTCGCTCCCCTTGCAGAGGCCACACAGAATGCACAGTGCCCCCTGTAGGAGCCAGAGCCTTCCTGAGCCCCCCCACGTGGAAGCATTTTGGGGACAGCCCTTATAATAATAATGTTAACCTCAGGAATAATTCACGGCTCCCCGCTTATGTGGTTGGGCTCTTTTTGAAAAAATAATACGTCTATTGTTGAAATTTTGGAAAGCACAGAAAAGTACATAGAAGAAAATAAGAATTGTTATAGCTTTTCCTTTCTTTCTTATAAGCCTCTACTTTGGGATAGGATAGGATAGGATCTTACAGGTACACATGGAAAAGAAAGACATTCCATCACCCAGAGACTGCCACTGTGAAATGTTGATGTCTCTCCTTTCTGCCTTTATAAACACGTTTATTTCTTTTCAAAATTATTATCACCCTACACATACTCTTCTGTAACCTGCTTTTTTTTTTTCACTTAATTATATGCCCTGCATTTTGCTTATGTCATTACATATTTGCCTACAAATACTTTAATGGCAACATCATTTCTTATCATACGGATATGCCGTAATTTATTTAACCATCTCTTTATTGTTGGAGATACAGGTTGTTTTCAATTTTTTGCTATAATAAACAATACAGGATGCGCATCTTTATACATAAATCTTTATGCACATTCATGAATATTTTTGTAGCATAAATTTCCAGAAGGGAAATTACTCAGTTAAAGAGATGCATGCTTTTAAGGATTTTGATATGATTTGCCAGATTGCCTTTTCAAAAGGCCATAACAATTTATATTCCCACCAGTAGCGTATAGGTGTCTCATGGTACCCTTGGCAATACTGGGTATTTTCAGTAACAACACTTTTTTTTGGTTTTTAATGGCTGAGTTTTTGAAGAAAATTCCCCCTGTCATGATAATTATTAGCAATTGTTTCTGCTGGGTGGACAGTAGCAGCTTTCCCGAGACCACCTATTGGCCTTGGCCTTTGTGACCTTGACACCAAGCCCATCACTGAGCAGTGAGACTTTGGAAGCTGGCTCCCTTTGTTCCCATCTGACTTCCTGGTGCCCCCAGCACGCAGGCCCCACATCAGGCCCTGGACTCGGGCTTTGGGCTCGTCCTTGCCGGGTTAACAGCGCAGCCTTGGGAGTGCCCCAGGGAGGCTGGACTCCGTGTGGGAAGCTGTGTGAGCAGAGGGTGCACGGAGCTTCCGGGAGACTCACCGTGCCCATGTGAGCCTGGCCGCAGAGCTTGGCAGTGCTCTGCTGTCTCTTGATTTCAGAAGGATTTGCAGAGTAATCCCCTACTTTATCGAGCAGCTGCTCTGGCAACAAACTGCGTGTTTACCCAGAATTCAGGTCTTAAAAACCAAGGATCTCTTGTCTTTTATCTTTGGGCAGCAGATTTCGCAAATGGGTTCTAACCATCTGACGGTGCCCCCGCCCCAAACCATGCCCCAGCCCCTCCCTGTCGCCAGGTTAACCGGGGTTCCCACCTGTCTAGGCAGTGGTGACAGGCACTGGCACTTTTCTATGGACAGTGTTGAGTGTGAGGGGATGGGAGGGGCTGAGCAGCAGGCCGTACTGGCCTCTTGGAAGTGGAGGGGGAAATGTAGTTTTGGAGGAAGAAGAGAGGCCTCGAGCCCCCTGTGACCCTCGCATCCTCTTGCCCCAGGCCTAGAGCCCTACTGTACCTCAGTTTCTGTCAGAACGGTGGCAATAGAAGGACCCAGACTGCCCTTCAAGGAATCTGTGAGGGCTCCTGTGAGAATGCTCACAAAGTTACTGGAGCTCCTTGGGAAGTAATCACTTTGTAAGAGGAAAATGTAATCATCCCTGGCCTTGTTTTCCCCTCATGCACCTCAGCAGGCAGGACAAAAGTGGTTTCCCAGTGGCCCTGGGGCTGCAGCATACATGATGAAAATCTGCCTGTCAGAAGGCATGAGGGTCCCGGGGAGAGCTGGGCTCATTATTTACCTGATCTACTTGTCGGTGTCTGTAGCACTTGTCACGCTCAAAGTCGGGCACACTCACAGGGGAGGTTGGTGAGGGGTGTCTGTGATGGCTGCAAAGATCAGACAAAAGGGAGGCTGTTCTGATGTCGCGGCCTCCCGACTGTGGCACGATGACATGCAGGTGTGCTGTGATCAAGGGTGAGGCATGTCACCGAAAGCTTGTTCCTTCCTACTAATAAAGGACCAAAGTTTGCAAATGGTTCACTTGTTTCCTACATTACTGCAGATTCAAAGACTCTGATGAGTCTTGCTCGCTTGCCTTTGACAAGGGTTGAATTAATTTGGGAATCGCCTGTAACCCGCAGACTCTCCTGTCTCTGCCTCAGCCCCTAACAGAGCTGTCGGGACTTCCATCAACACCACGGTCCTCCGGGGAGAGGATAGTTAGGTTAAAAGGACTGAAATTAGGCTGCCTGGCTTTAATTTCATCTTTCCCCACTTAGGAGACATGTGGTCTTTGCAAGCTACAAAGCCTTTTGGTGTTTCGAGATTCTTCCGCAGTCAGATGGGAGGTGGAGGAGGAGTGATAGGCCTACCTCATCGACTTAGCCCAAGTGAGATGCTCTCTAGCGCCTCGCGCATGCTAAACAGTGGGTACATGGTAGCCACTGTTACTGCTAATAGTTTGGCAGATAATTATTTTTGTCTGTTTTATTATTGGCTTCATTTCCCTGAAAGTCATTTTGGTTTCCATAATATCTGGTTGTATCCATGGGAATGTGTTGAGCATGAGAATATCACCTTCTACGAGTGTCACTGCAGGGGTGGAAAGGAGGGGTGGTGGTGGAGACACCTGACTCTAGAGGCCAGTGTTTCTGTTCTTCATCCTCCCAAAGTCAAGGGCAGCTTAAGAACCAAACGATAGTGGGTCAGACAAATGGCGGATGCTTGGAACCCTCACTGCTCACTCACTCTCAGTGAGTTTTTGTTTTCTGTCTAATCTCTATCTCTTCCCTTTGCAGGCAGCTGAACTAGGGATGGTGTCGGCCTATTACACATACATCTTCACTAATCTGGTAAGACATTTTCACAGCTCGTCTCCTTACCATAGAATATCAATAACTAGCATCAGTGGGGTACGATGGAATGAAGCTTGGGACATGGAGGGAATCAGAGTGGAGGAGCAGAAGTCAACCAGAGAGGCAGGACATTCTAGAAACATGGAAGTCCAGGAGCGCCTGGCCTTCTCATCTGAACAACTCTTGGCCTTGGGAGGACGGGAATTTGGGGAATCTAATGCCTCCATCCAAATGCCGCTGGCTACCTAGCACTGATTGGGGTAAGAGCGCAGATGTCGTAGAGTTGCTGTCATTTTGAAATGGCACAGTTTAATCTCCATGGAAGCATTTTGAAACTGTAACATGCTAAGAAATGGGCATGGTCGTTGTGAAGGATACACACTCAGAGAATAGAGGGAACCTTGGGGAATTGGTGTTAAAAAAAAAAATGTTACAGCTTTTTACTTGAAATGATTGTAGATTCACAGGAGTTGCAAAGATAGTAGAGAGTGGTACCAGGTGCCTTCAACCGCATTTCCTCCAGTAGTTACATCTTACGTAATGGTCATAGGGTATCAAAACCAGAATATCAAAACATCAGATCTGTCCATCCCGTGTAGATGTGTGTCAATCCCATTGGAACCAGGACAACGCCATCTCGTCACCACAGAGATCTCCCTCATGCCACCATTTTATGGTCTCACCCGTGGCCCTTCCCCCCACCATCCCGAACCCTTAACCACCACTCATCTATTCTCCATTTTGACACTTTTTTCCTTTTGAGAATGTTATATAAATGGAAGCATGCAGTATCTGACCTTTGTCACACGGTGTAATGCCCTTGAGACCACCTGAGTTGTTGCCTGAATCAGTGGTTTGTTCCTTTTTGTGGCTGAGTCATTATTTCTTGGTATAAGTATACCACAGTTTGCTTAACCATCCATCTTTTAAGAGACATTTTGGTTGTTTCCTGTGTTTGGCTGTTAGAAACAATCCTTTGGAGAAGGGTTTATTTTATAAATGCATGAGATGTCAAGATTACTTAAAGCAGTGGCCCCTCCATGCTGACATGCTTCTGAGCACATCTTACCTAACAGGGATGGGACCAGGCATTAGGGATTAAAATGGGAATAAGGAACAAAACCTGCCTTGGAAAAATTCCAAGTGACAAATTCTACTAGGTGTGTGTACAGAATGTTCTAGATCCTGGAACAGTCAGGAAAGACTTCACCAAAGAAGGGGACTTTAGGTTATGCTCTCATTGCGGGGAGAGGGGAGGGTTTTTCCCTAGATAAAGAAAGGAAGAGCATTCTGGGTTAAGTAACAGCATATCCACATGGTGGTTTGAAAGGACATGGCCTGTCCAGGAAACAGGGCGTCATCTCGGACGTAACGACCACTCCGGGGATGGGCCTACGCCAATTAATGACCATTCGCTTATCTATTTACACTCCACCCTTGCAAGTTACCTCTGTAGAGGACTTAAGGCAGACGTCCATTAGTTTTAAGATCCTTGCTAAGTTAGGAAGCAGAATACAACCTCTTGACTCTTAAATCTTAGAATGAGAAATGTTCCCAAGAAATTACGACTTTCTCGGTCAGCGTGTGTGATAGGGCGACCAAGGAGATGGTGCAGTGTCCCTCCCTGGATGGAGGGACCTGGTCTCCTGGAATGGCCTGCCCGGGCAAGGACAGTCCTGTCCAAAGAGATGGGCTGGGACCCTCTGATGCTTGTTCATTTCCAGCTGTAGGTTTTTATGAATGGCGCTTTCTTTCTTTTTTTTGTTTTTTAAGATTTTATTTCTTTATATGACAGAGATCATAAGTAGACAGAGAGGCAGGCAGGGAGGGGGGAAGCAGGCATCCCGCTGAGCAGAGAGCCCCATGCGGGGCTCGATCCCAGGACTCTGGGATCATGACCTGAGCCTAAGGCAGAGGCTTTAACCCACTGAGCCACCCAGGCACCCTGAACAGCCCTTTCTTGGGTTTGCTGTGGAATCGTTCACCCTGAAGCATGCTGAGGCCTCTGCTCTGAGTGGAGGAGACATCTTAGACGAATGGAGTGTAGCTTCTTTTCTGGTGTAGGGACTCCCCCTGATGAAGTCTTAGAATATAAGTGAGGTTCATGGGGGTGGGGTCCAGAGCCGATGACCAAGAAAGAATTCTTGAGACATCTTTGGTGCAAAATGGTGGTTTATTAAAGCACAGGGACAGGACCCGTGGGCAGAAAGAGCTACTGCCCAGCGGTTGTGAGGGGTGGCAGTTACCTATGATGGTGTTGGGGGAGGTAAGGAAAAAGGGAGGTTTCACTACAACTTTCATATGCTAAAGAAGACCTACAGGATACCAGATACCAGAGGCCTTGCCATTGTCAAGGTCCTTTTTCTCTTCTTAGCAAGTTTTGTTTTTTTTTTAAAGATTTTATTTATTTATTTGACAGAGAGAGATCACAAGTAGGCAGAGAGGCAGGCAGAGAGAGAGGAGGAAGCAGGCTCCCTGCGGAGCAGAGAGCCTGATGAGGAGCTCAATACCAGGACCCCAGGATCACGACCTAAGCCGAAGGCAGAGGCTTTAACCCTCTGAGCCACCCAGGTCCCCCCTTAACAAGGTATTAACATTAAGATATTTGGGAGGTTCCTAAAGAATGTCACATTTGTCCCACCCAGGAGTGGGGGTGGAGGAAGGTTGCAGGGTGTTCTTTCTGCTTTATCCTCAGCAAGCCTTCTGTTCCCTCATCACCCCCACAACAGGCTTGCCAGAGAGCCATTCAGCACTCCCTCCTTCTCAAGGCCACCACCGCCACAAATCTACCAGCTCCATTGCTGGAATTTTTACTTGAATTCTAGCGTACATATAGAAGACCACACAGATCATCTGTGCACAGACCAGGGAGCGTTTTCCAAGAGAGCACACCTGTGTAAGCAGCGCCCAGATCCCAAAATAGAACCCAGATCCCAAAATAGAAGTCCCCCTCCCGCCTCCTCCCCGCTGCTACCCCGCAAAATGGAAAACAGAAGGAATTTCTTTGTTTGCTTTATTTATTTATTTATTTATTTATCTATTCTGTGCTGCTGCTGCTGTAAATCAGAGCCTTAACATGTAAAAAGGGAGAAAAGGATTAGATGAGTCCCAGAGCACCACAGGTGCATTCGCTTAAAGTAAGGAGTTGTCTGGGGGAGCCCGGGCAAGTTGGCCGGAGCAGGAAAAGGAGATTCAAGTATAATCGGGCTCCATCTGGGGGGCCCCCCCAGGATGCTGAGGGGAGGAGAGGGGAGAGGCAGACGCAGGCAACCTCGTCAGCAGAGGAGGACAAAGTTAAGCCGCAGGGAGGCATGGAATGTGAACTCCCAGGACAGTCCCTAGAATAAGCTGGAGATGCTTGGCTTGGAGATTTTGAAGAAAGCATCCCCCCCACCTTCTCAGGACTGATAATAACCCGTATGATGATTTATCTAGTGGGAAAAAGTACAGGCCTATGAAGTCAAGAGACCCAGGTCAATGCTCCATTCTGCCTTACACGCTGTGTGGCTTTGGGGAAGTCTCACAGACTCTCTGAGCCCATTTTCTCATTTGGAAAATCTTAAATGGGGGGGGGATCTTAAAATCTTACGAAGTCGTTGTAAGGATAGGTAAAAATGCATCATTAATTGAAAAGTACTATGGGTTTCTAAGGCGCGTTTTTTTTTTTGTTTTGTTTTGTTTTTTTAATAACACGGTGATACGTTCAGGTTTCAAAGAGCTTTCTCCTTTTCTGGGGGCACGGAAATGAACAAGCTGAGCTCTGGGAGCATGCCTCAGCCAGAGAGTTCTTTGAACCTAGAATTACTAGGACTCACACAGTTTGTAAGTTTGCGAGGAGAAGTCAAAACAGTCACTGTATGAATGCTGATGGTTGAGTAACACTCGGGAAAATAAAAGCAGGGCCATTGCAAAAATCAGTCAGTGGGAGGATTTTCTGGAAGCCTCTTATTAGTGCTTTGACTTTCTGGAAAGGACAGGCCCCTATTAAGAGGAAAGAAACTACTTTTTAAGTCCATTCTTCCTTCCTAATTGCCCTTGGAGTCTGGGAACGGAGAGGGAGGGCCCTCGTACAGAGGGAGTGAGTTGCCCTCCATGATTCTCCCATTCCTGCTCCACCTACCACCCCATACAGATGCTGCCCAGACGCTAATATTTCTTTATTTCTTTGAATTCCTCAGGGATAGCCATCACAGCGCAGCTCTCTGATTTCTGCCATGGTGATGCAGTGGGTGCTTAGATTAGCTTTTTGAAAGCTTACACATGAGTTGGAAAGGCAGGGGTCTTTGTATTTGGTAGACGTGATTCAGAACTCTGCTTTGACTAGCTACCGGCCGTGTGATCCTGTGTGAATAACTTAACCTCTCTGAGCCTCAGAGACCTTGTCTGTAAGTGGACACCGTTAACACGTGCCTCAGGAGATGGTATCCATGCAGCACCTGGCTCATAATACAAGTTTAGTAAAGAGGAGATATTATTTATGAAGTCCTATTTATGCTTCCCATGTGCTAAAAAGAACAAGAGATACTAATTTTTCTGTGCAGCCTCTAATGGCCTGTAAAAGTGACTCTCACAATGCCATCCGACTGATTTGCCGAGAATGACTCAAACTTAGTAGTTTAGGTGTTATGCATGACTGAAGTGACCGGAGTAGGGTTCGTGTGTGTCCGTTCTCATTCTTCATTCCCACCCAGGCATTAAGAAGGCAGATTGACACTTCTGTTTTTAGTTTTTTGAGGAACTGCCATACTGTTTTCCAGAGGGGCTGCACCCATTACGTTCCCACCAGCAGTGCACGAGGGTTCAAATATCTCCACGTCCTCCCCGACACTTGTGATTTCTTGTCTTTGATTTTAGCCATTCTAACAGGCGTGAAGTGGTATCTCCTTATGGTTTTGATTTGCATTGCCTTGACTTGCCTTCAGAGGCCCCTTACCACGTGACTGAGGACTGCCTAAGTACCATTCGGTCCAGTAATTCCATTTCTGGGTATATTTACC